GCGATGGTCTGCATGGGCGACATCTTCAAGTACTTCGGGTTGCTGCTGATGTCAACAGTTGCATTGTCATTTAGTAGGTTGTAGTAGCTGTGTAGAAGTATGCTGGGTGCTGAGTGCCAAGTAGGAGTGTGAAGGGACTGGACTCTTGTGTTGGTGTGGAGAGAACATGTTGTCCTTGACATTGGTTTTCAGTACTATGAACCTCCATTGGTGTATTATTGGTGCAATGCTGCTCTCTGGACACAGTGTGACTATCTGGCTTTCAATGCGATGGTGTAATCTGGAATTGTCACCTCGTTGTTGCTTATTTTCCTTGCAAAAGAAGGTTTGAGAGAGCACCGTATGCCTACAATTAGGAGTAGTGGTTATGAATGAATGAAAAGAAAGAAAGAAAAGAAAAAAAAAAAATGAAAAAGAATGAATTATTTTTGAATTTCAAAGAAATGTTGGAAAAGGATTAATTAATTCTAAGGTATTTTCAACTTACGAAAAAGAAAAAAAATTAATTAATTCTAAAGTATTTTCGAATTACAAAATTTTCAAAAACGAATTAATCAAAATTATTTTCGAATTTCGAGGAAGAAATGTCGAGAAAGAATAATTGATTCTACGTATTTCAAAAATTTCGAAAAAGAATTAATAACATGGCTACGATCCAGACGTCCAGACAACTTGTCCAGACGGTCTGGATTCGGTCCGGACTCTAGACGTCCGGTCTGGAAGGTCCGGATGTGCCAAAAAAAAAAAAAAAAAAAAAAAACGGTCCAGGACCCTTCCCCACTGAGGCGACAAACCACCAAAATTGTTTTGGGGGTTTTTCAGAGGCAAAAGTGGTTTGCGTTGTTATTCTCCATAACATTTTTGCATGGTTGTCAACCGGACGTCCGGATCTGGATGTCCGGATCCAGTGTCCAGTTTGGGGGGTCCGGTTGGGCCCCATTTTTAGAAAATTCGAATTTTTTGGGGGGGGTCCCCTAGCGACTTTCCAGTGCCTGGTGGTCCCCCGAAAATTGTTGCCGCAGTTTTTGGCGGACCATTAGGCCAACCAGATTGGCTTTGAAGGGCCTGTACTTGCAATCTTGGGTGAGCTTCAGCGGGCCAAGGAGAACTGGTGTGTGTGTGTGTGTGTGTGTGTGTGTGTGTGTGTGTGTGTGTGTGTGTGTGTGTGTGTGTGTTAGNCCTTGACATTGGTTTTCAGTACTATGAACCTCCATTGGTGTATTATTGGTGCAATGCTGCTCTCTGGACACAGTGTGACTATCTGGCTTTCAATGCGATGGTGTAATCTGGAATTGTCACCTCGTTGTTGCTTATTTTCCTTGCAAAAGAAGGTTTGAGAGAGCACCGTATGCCTACAATTAGGAGTAGTGGTTATGAATGAATGAAAAGAAAGAAAGAAAAGAAAAAAAAAAAATGAAAAAGAATGAATTATTTTTGAATTTCAAAGAAATGTTGGAAAAGGATTAATTAATTCTAAGGTATTTTCAACTTACGAAAAAGAAAAAAAATTAATTAATTCTAAAGTATTTTCGAATTACAAAATTTTCAAAAACGAATTAATCAAAATTATTTTCGAATTTCGAGGAAGAAATGTCGAGAAAGAATAATTGATTCTACGTATTTCAAAAATTTCGAAAAAGAATTAATAACATGGCTACGATCCAGACGTCCAGACAACTTGTCCAGACGGTCTGGATTCGGTCCGGACTCTAGACGTCCGGTCTGGAAGGTCCGGATGTGCCAAAAAAAAAAAAAAAAAAAAAAAACGGTCCAGGACCCTTCCCCACTGAGGCGACAAACCACCAAAATTGTTTTGGGGGTTTTTCAGAGGCAAAAGTGGTTTGCGTTGTTATTCTCCATAACATTTTTGCATGGTTGTCAACCGGACGTCCGGATCTGGATGTCCGGATCCAGTGTCCAGTTTGGGGGGTCCGGTTGGGCCCCATTTTTAGAAAATTCGAATTTTTTGGGGGGGGTCCCCTAGCGACTTTCCAGTGCCTGGTGGTCCCCCGAAAATTGTTGCCGCAGTTTTTGGCGGACCATTAGGCCAACCAGATTGGCTTTGAAGGGCCTGTACTTGCAGTCTTGGGTGAGCTTCAGCGGGCCAAGGAGAACTGGTGTGTGTCTGTGTGCGACACTTTGTGTGTGCGTGTGTGTGTGTGTGTGTGTGTGTGTGTGTGTGTGTGTGTGTGTGTGTGTGTGTGTGTGTTAAAGATACGTCGGATAATACAACTACAACATCGTGTGTGACACTGTCTGTGTCTGTGTGCGACACTGTGTGTGTGTGTGTGTGTGTGTGTGTGTGTGTGTGTGTGACACTGTGTGTGTATGTGAGTGTGTGAAATATAAGTTGGCTAATACAACTACAACATTGTGTGTCTGTCCGGCTTCTTCTTCCTCATCTTCTTCTTCTTTTTCTTCTTCTTCTTCTTCTTCTTCTTCTTCTTCTTCTTCTTTCTGGACATCGACCTTTTGATTCACAGTCCAGGTCCGTATGTCCGGTTGTCTGGAACAGTGTCCGGATTACCGGACGTCCGGATTAATCCTGATGCAGGTCCGGGCCCGGTGTCCGAGTCCGGGGCAACCATGTTTTTATATTTTTATATTTATATTTTTTCTTAATGGTCCAGACGTTTCCGGACCTGCTCACCAGTCCGGACCATCCGGAACCATGCATGTTCGGAGGTCCGGATATGTCCGGACGTCCGGACGCCCGGACCTGACAAGACATGCGTCCGGTCCCCAGACATGAGTTGTCCAGGTCCGGGTCCAGCGTAGCCATGATTAATAATTAATTACTTCTTTTTGAATTACAAGAATTTCAAACGAATTTTGAAAAAGAGAAAAAAAAAATCAGGAATAAATGACAAATGAAGTAAGTCGAGGGCGGAGCCGAAACGGTTCCTGAACCGACAAAAATAGGACAGCACCTCACATTATAAATAAATAAATAAACAGATAAATAAATAAGTGAGTGCTGCCTCACCTTGTGCCTGCGGCCTAGAGGGCCGCCGTGGGTCTTCAGGGCGCGCGCTGGATGGCGTGCGGCCTGGGGACTCCTCAACTGCCGCCGGGCCCCTGCAAATGGGCCCGTGTGCAGGCGCAGCATGCAACACCCCCCCCTCCTTATGAAGTCAAGCCGGGTCGAGGGCAAAGCTGATGATCTGAAGGTGGAACCTGGACGTGGGTGCGACGTGGAACCGAAGATGCCGGCTTGCAACTTGCGTTCGTAGCGTGCGAGAACATCGGGAGCTATTGCTTGTAGTTCCACACGGGTCAACCAACGGTCAGCTCGATGGGTGCAGTATGCAAAATGGACCAAGAATTCAGTCGGCCTGTTGCCGTAACGTCGTTGGGATATGGTGTCGCCAACCTCTTGAAAACCGTCCATCAAGGGTGGGTCTTGCGATTGTCGCCCGGGAAAGTCATCATGTTCCGTTGGCGTGTAAAGAGCCAACTTGGAGCAGTGAAAGACCGGGTTGACGGGCAAGTGGACGGGCACGTGAATGACAAAGGAAGGTCCTTCGGGTGCGTCCCCAGCGGGTGCCACGATCGGCCAAGGCCCCATCCAATTCGGAAGGAGCTTGCGAGAGAGATCTTGTTCGAGGCTGAGTTCCGCGGTGCGCGGAATGGACAGGGAAGACGCTGGCGATTGGCCTGTTGGATCATGCGTTGCTGCGTCTTTGCCATCTGGTCGCATGCCTTGACAAGTAGCTCTTGCATTCGACGCAAGAGAAGAAGGTGGTCGTCGCTCTCGACCACCCGCGAGATGATTGTGTCCAACGGAGAGGTGACCGGGAAGCCATGCTCGAACTCAAAGGGCGACATCCCGATAGCTGGATGGATGGACGAGTTGTATGCCAATTCGACATCCGACAGCCATTCAACCCAATCCTTTTGGTCGGGACGTATGAGAGTGCGAAGGAAAACCTGTGCGGTCTGATGTGCCCTCTCCGTTTGGCCATCGGTTTGGGGGTGGCGAACCGAACTCGGCTTTGAGAGATGAGCCCCATCGTTTGACAAGCGCCAACCAAAAAATGGACATGAACCGAGTGTTGCGGTCGCAAACGATTTCCTTGGGGTATCCCTTGGTTCGAATCCAACCGGCGTAGAGAACCTCGGCCAACTCCGGTGCCTTGGCATGGTAGCGCAAGGCAAAAACATGGCAAACTTGGTGAGTTGGTCGACCATCGTGAGAATCCCATCCATACCAGTCTTGTACTTGGGGAACGGCCCGGTAATGTCCATGGCAATCGCTTCCGTTCGGCGCAAGGGGACCAATAATGGTCGCAGCTCGCCGTATGGACGATGATTGCGACATTTGCAACGTCGGCAAACCTCGCATGACTCGCAGTAGCGTGTGACGTCGTCGAGAAGACCGGGCCACCAAAAGCGCTCGCGGAGTCGGCCAATCGTACGATTGACTCCAAAATTTCCGGTGGCGGGAGCATCGTGGAGCTCGCCAAGAAGTCGTGTGAGCAAGTGTGAATCTCGCGGCACACAAAGAAGATCCTTCCCCCGCGAGTGGACGAGCAAATATCCCTCTTGGATCCGATAGTGCGATGGCGTCGGATTGGGAGAGGAACAATTCGTGTTCTTGTCACGAAAACTCGGGGTCGGCTTGGTAGCCGCGGATGAAGCTGTCCCAAAGGTCGAATAGACTGCGGTACAATGATCCGGATGTCGTGAAAGAGCATCCGCAAAACGGTTTGACTTCCCCGAAATGTGATCGGAAAAGAAGTCAAATTGGTAGATGAAGCCATCCAACGGGCGATGGTGCTGTTGACGGTATTTTGGGTCTTGTAGAAGACCAACAGATTGTTGTCCGTTACCCATTGGAATTGGCTTCGACCAAGGAGGAAGTGCCGCCACCGCTTGAGCGCGTGGACGAAGACCAGAGGCTCCTTCTTGCGTGCATCATCGATTGAGTGCACGACGCGCACTTTCTTGCTGAAGTCTTCGACTGGGTGCCAGTCCACGCCATTATGCTGTTCGAGGACGACACCAATGCCATAGCCGGACACATCCGTAGTGACACGTGTTGGCAATAGCGGATCGTATATGCGCAAAACCTCTGCGGATAACAATGTAGCCTTGAGGGCCAAAAATTATTCCCGCGCATCCTTCCCGAAGTCGAACGACCGATCCTCGCATTGGAGCTTGGTCGAATGGGCCGCGATTTTCGAGTATCCCTTGATGAAACGTTGGTAGTAGCTGGCAAGGCCAAGGAACGAACGGACATCCGTGACATTCCGCGGCTCTGACCAATCTTGGATGGCTTGAATCTTGTCTGACAACGGGCTGATGCCCTCCGGTGTGACAAAATGGCCGAAGTATTCCAACTCTTGACGCACGAATTCGCACTTGTCGCGGTTGGCTTTGTACTTGGTGCGACGGAGCGGCTCCAATACTCGCCGAAGATGCTCGAGATGTTCCTCCAAGGTCCGGCTATAGACGAGGATGTCGTCCAAGTAGACCAGCACAAACCGGTCTAGCATTGCACGGAGCTCGTTGGTCATCGCCGCTTGAAAAGTCGTCGGGGTATTGGTGAGGCCAAAAGGCATGACCACCAACTCAAAAAGTCCGTACCGCATCTTGAATGCGGTCTTGTAGCGATCTTGCGGGTGTATTGAAATCTGATGATATCTCGACTTCAAATCCAATTTGGAAAAAAAAATTGCGCAGCCCAAACGCTCTAGAAGGTCGTCAATACGAGGAAGAGGTCCCGCGTTCCTGACGGTTTGTGCATTGAGCTTGCGGTAATTGATGCATAGGCGAAGGTCCTTGTTTTTCTTCCGTACGAAGAGAATTGGCTCACCATATGGTGAGCTACTAGGCCGGATCCAACCTTTGTCCAACAAGTCATCGAGTTGCGCGTGGAGTACTGTAAGTTCCTCCTCGCTCATGCGATAGATGCAACCTTTCGGCGGCACGACACCGGCCTCGAGAATGATCTCGTGAGAGATTGGCTGATCCGGCACCACGCCGGTAGGTGACTCAAAGATGTCGGCGAACTCGTCAAGCAACCGCACCACACAGGGTCCGAAGACAAGTCCGTGGGTGGAGATTCGGCTACCGCGACGATTCGAAGAAAATATAGGCCTATCTCGTCGGGCTGCTCATAAGCGCAAGTAGCCCGGAATGACTTGGCCGTCACAACTTGGCACCTGATTGAAGGGTGCGGAGGAGGGATGGTACACGACACTTCGGTGCTAAAGGCGTCGTGTACCATAAGTGTTTGTCGATGGAAGTTGACCGTGTGATCCGCACTTTGCAAGCCAAGGCATGCGAAATAGACCGGTACGGCCTCGATGTAGCGGTCAAGGAGTTGTTGCGTCCTACCATCCGCCAACTTGATCGCCGTAGGGTGTGCCTTCCTTCGAACTTGTGGGCCAAGGCCAGCCCTTAGGACAAAGGAATGGCTGATGAAATTGAGAGTCGCGCTGCTATCCAGCAAAGCGCCGCAGGATGCTTGCCCAACTTGGATGCGGACATAAAGGAGCGGTGCGTTGTTGTCATAGTACCGCTGCGTGCGAAACTCTCGGGCCACCTTGTTTACATACGCAAGGATGTCCCCCACCGCGACTTCGTCATCCGTCAGCGAAGTTGGTGGTGCATAGAAGTATGTATGTAGATGAGCGCTAAGTGCTGCGCGTTGAGGTTCTGGTAAGCAGCCGGTGGAAGGGAGAAGTATGTATGTAGATGAGCGCTAAGTGCTGCGCATTGCGGTTCCGGTAAGCAGCCGGTGGAAGTGAGAGGAAGCCATGCAAAATCCTCGGGCATCAACGGGTCCAAGTCCTCTATGTTGAACGAGCGCGCCGAATCCCGTGAGGGTCCACTTGAAGACGACTCAATGTCGCTGCTTCCGAACGAAGAAGAAACTGCACATACACGTTGTCCTTGGGCTCATGAATTCAGCAAAGGTACGAGCCGGGCAGCATAGTCCTCGGGAGGGCTTACGACTTTCGCATGTGCCCCGGAACCGGGGGAGGTTACCCGCACGGCAACCGGTTTTGAAGGCGTCGAGAGTGTCGTCGCATCACTCTCGACGGTGCTCACTTTCCCGACTGGGAAGTGCCCTTGGTTGTGCAGCTTGTGGTATCATGAGTTGAGTTGTTGCACCACAAACAATAGTGGTACTTGGTGTGGACGCGATACCCTCGCTCCGTAAGACCATAATGTGTCTAAGGTTCGTGAGTTGGAGCTGCTTATCGGGGCCCGAAAGAAGTGGTGTTTGTCTTCGTTTTGCCGCGACCTCGTCCTTTGGCGGGGCGGCCACTGTTCCGGGCAGCTGCTAATCTGTCTCCCTCGTCTGAAGAGGCAGCCTCGTTTGAAGCTAAAGGGTCGCTCGGCGTGGCCGCTGCGACCACGACCACTTTCGGCCGATGCTGATACGCGCCCTGGCCGGAACGACCAATATTCTTGGCTTCCATGCTCGTCACGATGATCTGTGCAGCCTTGTTGAAAAGTTCCTCACTTGTGTTGAGGTTCTCGGCGACTTGAGTCAACGCATTTCGCAACGCCGGGCACGACCTCTTGATGAAGTAGAGCTTGATGTCGTCGAAGGTCATCGGCAGCTTTGTCGTGCTCGCCACGCGTTGGAACTCGGATATCCAGTCTCCGCTTGGCATGCTGTTCTGAGGGAATGTCATCAGCTTGTCCATCGCCTGATGCTCGGACGATTCCACTTGGAAACGTTTCTGCCATGGAGCCGTGAGATTGGTCCAGGTGATGAAGTTATGCAACTTGGAGACTGTGCACGCGTGTGCGGACAACATGTTGTTCAGCCATGCTTGACACGCACCGCCTGACCGTGAGTACAAGTATGTGTGTCGATTGTTGTGGCCGACCTTGTGGATGTCCAGCTTGAGTTTGAACTAGCTCCACCACTGTATAGGGTCCATCTTCAATGCGTCACAGAAGATTGGGAGCCCATCAAATTTGGGAATGCTCTTGCGTGATGACGTGCTAGGGCCGGCTGTTGCTGCGCAAACCTGCTGCTCCAGTCGCTATGCCCCGGTCTTGAGTGTTCCCACGTCTATCTCCAAGATGTTTACACGGTCGGCGAGGTCGGACGGGCGGACGCCGGAGGAGGCGACTTGTCGCTGCTCCAGCTGATGTACGCGCTTGGTCAGCCGATCCACTGACTGCTGTAGCACTTGGTTGGTGTGGTCGAGAGAGTGAATGTCCTCCTGCTGTGCAATGCACGTAGCGAGAAGGTCCGAGACGCGGTTGAGCAGTTGAGATAGCTTGTTCCCGTAGTCAACGGATTCCCCATTCTCGGCCTCCTTCTGCCAATCCTTGGCCTGCGTGTGTACCGCATTTTCCTCCTTGAATAGAATATCCCATCACCGTACGCGTTCTTCATTTGCGGCCTTAGCTGCTGCTGCTGCTGCATGCTTCTGCCATTGTTCTTCTGCCAGAAGACGCAGCCTCTCTGCCTCTGCCTCCTCCTTCTTCCGTGCAGCTGCTGCTGCTTTCGCCCGCTTCTTTTCTTTCGACCATCATAGCCGTCATCCGTGTTGCAAAGTCCGCATCAGATTCGCCTTGCTTCTGTTTCATCCCCGCTGTCTGTGAGCGAGTGAGAACGCGCCGCGGATTGCTGCTGTGGCCTGCTGATTTGAGGACTTATTAATGCTGTAGCCGGGGGTAACCGGTGGGCAGTTGAGTAAGAAGAGGAGAGAGACGGAACCGAGAGATGGGGGGGTGTGGGAATCGAATGGATCGCCCAGATAAGGAGCCACTAATAATAAAAAAAACGAAAAGTTGGAACTTTGCTGAAAATTTTGAGAAAAAGAATTTTTTCTCAAAATTGCAAGTTCGGTAGGTCCCCTGATCCTCCCCACAGCAGATTAAAAGGGCCTTTAGGAATTAGACCCCAGATGAGTACCCCAACAGCGAGGGGCCCTGTCGGCCAGAACTTAAATTCACGAGCAGCAACCCAAAAGACAAAGTTCCTGAGGCAAATGTCACATCCATAATGAAATGAAAAGGTCATTTTGAACAGTCACAAACAGGTCCTGAACGAACAGGTATTGGACACAGTTTTTAAGACTGAGAAAGGGTCATGTCTCCTCGATGGAAAGTCACGTCTGTTCGGCAATGAGTCAAAGGCCACAGGGTCCAAAAGACAGGCCCGATGGCCCAAAGCAACAGCAGACCATGGGAAAAGATACTGGGACACACACTTTGCAACAACGGGTACTGGGCAGGAGTCCCAGACACTTGAGGCTGAATGCAGGGCACGCCAGACCAGTCCAGCACTATAAAGGACTGGCCAGCCTCCCATTTGACAGATGCTCACTTCGCATGAGAGTGTGGAAGTGCCGTGGCACTTGTGCACCAGATGTGTGTGGGCTGCGCTAGGCTGAAGAGCAGCACTATGTGAGAGTGAAGAGAGTGCTGGCTAGACGGACGGCAGCCATAGCTGCGCCAGCGCTAGTTAGTACATTATTAGGGATAGTTAGTAGAAGAGTTCAGTGAGTAGTATTCAAAGTAGATCCTTGTGTGATAGGGAGTGTGCATGCATGATGATTGGGAGTAGACCAGGACAATAGACATAGAGGGAGAGAGAAGAAGGCAGACGAGAGAGGGGGAGGTGTGAGCTATGGTGATACACACCATACCTGTTGGGCGCGGTTGTTGACGTTTGGCAGCTGGCGCTGATGAGCGCCAGGCTTGGAACTCATGTTGACTGAAGAAGACTTGTAACTCTGTTCAGCGCTATACATTTTGAACTCACGAAATTCCTCTCTTAATCTGGTTATGATAATTGAGTTGAGCTTCCTGGTTCTCATTCATTTTTTATTGGGTTTTGTGTGAGACATCGCAATCTGTGAAATCTGTGTGTATGGATGTTATGTGATGCACGCCAGCAAGTGATGAACAGTCGGGTTCTGTTACATGCCCAGATGGGCGATGTACATAATAACCGAGGATCCGCAATGTGATAAAAAGGGCTGAATGGACAATGCAGAGCAAGTAGAACCTCAACAAGCAATGTGCATTCTGATACATACAAAATGATGCTGAATAGCGCAGGGAAAACTTAGATACAAAGCCTGACCTGACCGGGACGGACCTCATTCACGTAGTACACGGTAGCGAAGCAGAATGCTAGAATGCTAATGACTAGCCCAATCAATGTTTGAACGCAGACCAAACATACATCGTGTCCATCACAAAGTGTGAAGG